ATCAACTTTGAACCTTTTGATGAAATAATTCTATAGTTTATCTGGTAAAAAACCTCCTCCCTTTTGTTTAAAGAATGTGATAAATTTTATCATATAACTAGAAATTTTATTATAAAGCTATTATAATTACAATGTGGGACTGGACTAAACAGAAAGTCTGACAAAAAAGCAAGAATGCGTAGGAATTTGATCTGAAAGAGGAAGAATTTCATATCAGAGGGCAAAAAATAAAATATTCAGTAGGTAGTAGTGAGAACATTAGTCAAACAAATAAATCAATTTAAAAATGATTCTTAGTTCACACCACATATCAAAATGAATTCCAACTATATTAAGAATTAAAAGTGTAAAAGTGTAAAAAGTGAAAGGAAAGAACAAGCATAAATATAGGGAGAATTCATTCTCAGTATTGGGAAGTCTTATTTTTCTCATTCCAGCAGAGGGAAAAACCAGAACAGAAAACAATGATAGATTTTTCCTGATTCTAAATAGCCATGTCAGTAATCAACAGAAAAAAAGATTAAAAGTAAGGATTAAGCAGAAGGAAAATTTCTTAACATAAATGAGAAGGTGAATTTCCTTTATAATTAAAGAATGCTTGCAAATCAATACCAAAATAAGATAAATGCCCCTCTGGAAATGTTGGCAAAATCTTTAACCATTTGTTCATCAAAGAGGAAATACAGAAGACCAATACACGAGCTTTTTAAATTTACATTCTTAGTGTGAAATGAAACAATAGTGAGGATAAAATAAAGTCCTATTGGTGGTAAAGGAACATGAGTAAGTCAACTTTTACGAGCATAAATTGTTACAACCTGTCTGAATGGCCTCTCATTAACTTAACAAAAGTCATGCAAATGTTTATAATATCAGATTGATTAATTTAGTTTAATGAAAAAAATTACTATGTAAGGATATTTTTCACAGTATTTTTTAAATTGAAAACAATATCTTACTGTAGGGCCTTTGCTAAATAAATTACAGTACATCCGTAAAGTAAAATTTTGTGCAGCCACCAGAGTGGCTCAAGATTAAAAACTGATAAATATTGACAAGTATATGAGACAATCAGAATTTGCATACATTGTTGGTAGGAGAATGAAATGATATCTCTACTTGAGAATAACATCTGACAGGTTCTTGTAAAACTAACCATGCACAGACCCTGTGGCCCAGCAATTCCAGTACTAGACATTTTCCTAAAGAAGTGAAAACATAACTCTACAAAAAGACGTACAAGATCATACTGAGCCGTTTTACATAATAGTCCCAAACTGGAAGCAGCCTATGTGTACATCAATAGGAAGATAGATAAACTGGTATGTGTAAACAAAGCAATACTATACTTCTCAACAGTCACAAGCAACAACATATTCATACATGCAAAATAATATTAAACTTCTGTCTGAGTTTGGAAAAATTGTTGCAATAAGAATTTAAGAAATTTTAAATGAACCATAGGAACTACCTACTCCCATAAGGAAATAAACAAATGTAGCTGACTCAGTTGTCTTTACTGTAAGTACATGCTCCTTAAACTGAAGGAATTGAGATCAAACCAGAAAGTTGTAGGAGGTGAGCACAGTGAATCCAGAATCATGGTTTTTTCAAGATTTGGGTGTATAGTGTGGGAGCTGTTTATGTTCAACAGAGATTATGTTTCTGCTTGAAACAAAATTCAAGTGAAATCTTCAAGTAAATATGAAATTGCAAAGAAAATTCCCTTATGTTGCTCTGAGCTTTTCCTGTACTAAGACAGAAGGAATATTTGGAAAACATAAACTGCTCAACTGAAAATCAGTGTTTTTAAGGCAAAATAAAATATATGCACTGTTGGCTTGCTTGTTTTTTCACTTATCTATCCTCTCCTGGAATGTAAGATACCACAATCATATGGTGCACTATTTTCTTTAACAACAAATTACTCTGATGTCAAGCTGTGACAACCAGATGGCCACATCAGCCTCTTGTTGCTTTGAAATTTGTTTTATTTTTTCCAAGAGATTTGGCAGTTTCTCCTTTCCTGGCATTGCATGGTGTATGCTACACAATATCTTACATATTCTGTAGTTATAAAACAAACATAGCTTCATCTTTCTACAGGTATTTTCCTTTCTTTGGATGCATTAAGCATTTGGTTATTGTCTTGCAAGAAAATATGGAAGTGTAGTCATCATCTGACATAGCAAAGACTATTTACTTCCCTAATATCTAATATGCACCCTGCCTCTTTGTTTCTCTTGCTTTATTTGTAAAGTAACTTTTTGTTTCAGTGCCAAATTATAGTGTACGATTTGTATATATATAATCATTTTGAAGGTATTTTAAGTGGCAATTAAAATCAACATGCACAGTGTACATAATTCATTTGAAGGGATGACATTATGAACAGCTGTGATCAAGAGCTGTTATAACTGGAAGAAAAAATCTGTATCATAGAATCAAAATCTAGAGTATAAGAAAATATTCATTTGGAGTCAATTCATGCTTTTCTCTCAAACGTTACTGTAGGCTGAAATAAAGCATTACAATGCTTCTTGCCTAGAACCTTTCTTAACATTCATGGTTCTTCATTTTTTTCTGGATACTCTCAGTTGCCCAGGATAGAAATAGGACTCATCAGGAATCTTTAGGGTTGATACTGATTTTTAGTGAAATGTACTTCATTAAGAAATAGAGTAGAGAAAGAATGTTAAAGAATTAGAGGCCTAGGTTTTAATCACTGGTCTGCTTCCAGTTAACATTCTGACTCAGGAGTTCAGTTTTGTCCCCTGTCAAATTAAACCTTTGGGTTACATCAGAGAATTTTCTGTCCAAGTTATGCTTTAGAATCACCTAGACAGTCTAAATTAAGTAAATCAGAAACTGGGCATGTAGACCAGGTATCAGTAGTTCATAAAAGCTCTTCAGATAATTCTAATGTTCAGCCAGGGGGATTGATCCCTGAGTAAGATGATCCTTACACTTTACATAAGAGATAGTACACTAAATTGGTTAAAATCATCTCTGAAGTCACGAACCTGGGTCTAAATCCTGGCTGTGCTACATATTATCAGCATACTGTAAGAGGTGCTGTGGTAGAAAATAAACCTGATGGTGGGATGGTAAGAGCAGCAGGATGGTTGTTAGCTTCTGTGCTTGCATGTTCCAGGCTTTGATTCTGAGTGCTTACACGTACCTATTCAAGGAACCCTCACAATAGCTCTTTGAGATAACTACTGTAAATCTCATTTTGCAGATGAGGCAACAGAAACAGATAAAGTTAAATAATTTGGCTACGTTCACAGAGCTTACAGAGTTCACAGTGATGAAGCTGGATTTAAATTGAGAAGTTGGAGTTCAGAGATCAAATATGCAAGTGTCACAA